TGAGAACCATCCAGAACCGTACGGCTATGCTGCGGCAGCGGCTGAAAGGAACGCAACAACAATAACTACAACAGCAGCTGCTAATGAAAGGGGAAATCATGGAGCCGGATGACCCGGCACATGGCGCTCAGCCAGCTGAGAATGAGAGCAGCTATCAAATCGCCAGCAGGGTGCTGCGGCTGGTAACTGACGACCTTGGTAGAGAGAGCGCCTCCGCTGATGCGGATGAAACTTCTCCCTCTCGGGTTTGTTTGACGCCGTCTCCGCCGACTCTTTCGCCTGGGCCGGCTGGCGACCGCGACATTTCTTGTGCAGTGACTCGTAACTATGTTCACCAAACTTTTAAAACTCCTCACGGTAGCATCTTTAAAGAATGTTTCCCTTGTACACTGCTGCAATGTCTTATGTAGGCATATTGTAGGTACAGTCTAAACGAGTGTGGAATGCTTTGTTGTGCTTGTTCTGTATTTCGTTTGCTATTTATCACGGTGACTATAATTTATTTTGACCAACCCTTGCCTTGTTACAATTTTAGTGGATGGCTTCTGAACTGCTGTTTGCATTATAGATGTTGCTAGTGCGTAGACGCCAAAGATTACTTTATACCTATTGACGCGCCAGATAAAGGAGGTGAAGTATTCCTCTGATCTATACCTACGAAATTCCTTTATGTGTGTTTTGTAATCGATATTGGCGGTTTTCTTATGTGATGCGGTGTAGAGCGTGGCTGAGGAAGGCGATGTTTAAAGTTGCTAGTTATTTTTCAATACATCTATGATCGGACTGTCGTGCTTGCTGTAGGTCGGACTTCCGTTCTTGATGGTGATTGGACGCACGTGCCGGTAGTTCACAACAATGCGGCTTTCGATTATAGTGTAGATTTAGATGCTTTTAAAGTGTTTGTATGCGTAGTCCTGAGTTTCGAGATATTATCATTGCGGGCTCCTTGCCAACAGATTGTCCACTTCTGTGTCCAGTACTCATCCCACTCACGAGGCTCAGTTGTGTTTGCCAACCCGTATACGGAAACATTGGCCAGATAACTGACTACTACTGAAATTTTAAGAAGCGTGGGCAGTAGGGCATAACGAACGGTCCTCAGGTTCAGTAGCCGCGGAGCACCTTCAATTAAGGGGGGGGGGGGCACCGCCGACTTTTGGTCCCATTCTTTCCATGCAGCGCCCATAGGGCTAATGTTAAAATGCCAAAATCAAAGGGGGGCACGGTGCCCCGGTGCCCTCCCCGTTCCGCCGCCTATGCTCAGGTTATTTCTGACCTGACAGGCTCAGGGAGGATTGCTCTTTGTTGTTTTTCTCCGATGAACCCTCTTGCTGCACACTGGCTGATCCAAGGGATGGAAGGGACGGGGGGTGCAGACGTAAGAAAAAAGAAGACAATGTTCTTTCCCTAGCGCACGAAATCAATTCTTAAATGAAAATAAAACGAATAAGCTTCCGTTAAGAAGCCCCCGTTCCGTATCTTCCGTTCCATTCCACGACTCCCACGTTCCAGTGACTTGCTGGCTGCTGCAGTAGCGTCATCTATACCTCGCCCTTACTGCCGGGAAGGCCGCGAGTTGCGACATCTATACTATGTCTAGGCCTGAAGTATTCATCCGCCACGATGTATTTATTTTTGTCAATCGGTTTGGTCCTTCTGGCCGGATAGGTCGTCAGAATTATCTGAAGGTGCCTGAAATGTCTCGTTAGTGGAAAAAATGTCTCGTTAGTGGAATTCCACTATCTGGCAACTAGCCCTATGTAAACGCGGCTAATGATTTAAAACAATCCAAATCTTCATTGGTGCTTATATCAATGCAAATCTGCTATTTTCATTGGCTTATTCCCATGCCTTAGATTTCTGCATGGCAGAGGAAGCATTTATTCAAAGGTAATTATAGCTTTAAAATAGTAGGGATATGCGAGATGACGTTTTCATTATCAATGCATGACTTCATTCCAGTAGCCAAATCAGTCCCTTGCAGTTCTGCATTTCTCGACCTGCCAACGGTGGCCATGGCGGCTGGTAAGGCCCCGGTCCGGCAGTTGGCAGTAGCGCCACCTACACTGAAGGTCGGCGGATCCCGAGGCCACGGGCCGGCCTGGCCCGGCCGTGGCGGACGGGCCGGGGAGCGGGCGGCAGGGGGTGGGGACTGGGGAGGGGTATCCGGGGACGACGGGCAGCATTGCACTTTATAAACAAGGTTGGTATAAATAATTTGCCTGGAGTATCCGCGAGTCATTTTAAGGCAGGCAGGATCATACAAACGAGCGCTCTAATTTTAGCTTATTTCCCTGGTAAGTCACCAACTGACTGCTGATTGCTGTCAGCACCTGATTGATGCCCGTCCCGCCCTCAGTCCACCGGCCGTCATCATCCAACCGCACCACCCTGCCTGCGGCTAGTGGAGACGGCGGTGCCAGCCCTCCTATCTGACGTCCTTCCTGGCCAGCTGCGGCTGCAGTGGCGGTCACCCTTCCTGTGTTAGACGTGGTGATCCGGAGCAGCGCTATCGGTGGAGCCCGATGTGGCTCGTCGCCTTTGTATAGGTTACTCGTATTTCGTTCTGATATTATGTATATTGCTTTCAGTAGCCAACATGTTCAATGGCTTCGATGTAACGGTTCGTTACACAGATTCCCATCACCACAACGGCAGCTGGCCTTATGTCCGGTCATCGAAAGATGGGGATGGGAACGGCTGTTTGTATAGTATTTACAGAGCTTCTCAACATTGTACAATACATGTGTCATGAAAAACAGCCCATAACCAACACAAGGTGTTCAGAGAGCCAACATCAATGTCACTATCTATGTATAGCATTAGTCATTATAACTACATTTTGCAGTCGTAAAAACAACACATAACTTATATAAACCATGACTATACAAACGCTATATGCATTGCTAACATCGCCATCACATGAGCACTGACCTTATAAGCATTAACCCGCGACCTGGTGGGGGGGGGGCTATTTTTTGCCCCCCCTCCAGACTTTTCGATATATCTCCAGAACCGCTGCGCCGATCGTCACCAAACTTTCAGTACCCTCCCGGACATCAATTTTACATATGGTGACCAAAAATTTTTTCCAAAGGCTATGATAGGTTGGCCGGAAATGACGTCAGAGTGACGTCATGTTCTGTCGTTTTCGACCCAAAAAAGGGTTCCACGGGAAGAGCTGTCAGGCCTATAGCTTTGCAAATACAGAAAAATGATAAAGACATAAAAGCTGTAGAATTGACAGGGCTACAAAACTGCTATCTCGGATTTTTGAAATTTTTGGATTTTGACCCCCAAAAATCAAAAAAATCAATTTTTTGGATATAATGATCTAAAAATCCAAAAAGTTTTATGAATTTCGCAAAAACCGGAATATATGTGATAGTCCGTACCACCTTACATCCACATACCAAATTTGAGATTGATACCTCTTTTTTTGGCGAAGTTATAGCGAAAAAAACTGTTCAAAATTGATGACGTCAAATTTTCAAACTCAATTTTTAGCAATTCTAGACCACGTAGCGCAAAACAAAGACCACCATTAGACTCCCCGTGACGAGCTGCATCGAATCAATACCCATTTTATGCAAAACTATCAACTTTAAAATTTGACCTTTTTTGGCCTGACCTTGACCTGACCTTGACCTGAACTTCACCAGAAAGTGACCTAAGCCGTACCTGATAGTCTTATAACCAACACCATTGAGTTGGAAATGAAAAATTGGCCATAAAACATGCATCACACAACCTTAGTGAAGTTGGGCTCATGTGACCTGACCTGTGACCCTTGGTGACCTGACCTGTGACGTGACCTGGTATTGTCAGTGACCTCTAATAGCAACATATCTACTAGGCAACTGACGCCCTATCGCTGATTCTCGACAAAATGCGTTTTCCTCGGTGTTATAGCGCATTCCCTAGAAGACCCGTGAACGGTGAAACACTTCATCTTTGACCTGACCTGTGACGTCATCGGTGACCCCGAGGTCAATGAAATTTGGTTTCCTTCGACAAATTTGACAGGCCTTTCGAACGCCGTTTGAGTTTTGCGGATCCGTCCAGTAGTTTCGGAGATACGAGGGGGCAAAAAATAGCCCCCCCCCACCAGGTCGCGTTATAAACAGACCCCACCAGGGCGCGGGTTAACACGCGCAGTGGAAGGGGGGCGGGGCGGATTTCGCCCACCCCTCCTGTTTTTCGCCAATAACTCGCGCCGCAAGCATAATATCAATGTGAAATTTCGGCTACCTGTCCAGAATTGAATTGCGGATCTTCTCGTGCAAAAAGTAAGAAAATCGGTTCACAACTTTTCTAGTAATGGCGGTGTAAAGTCAAACATCCTGCCGCCGCGGCGGCGCGGCGGCCGGCGCTAGCCGTTACGCGCCGCCTGAATTGTAGACTGTGCCGGGGCGGGACGGTTCCGTCTTTACATCGCGCTCCTTACCGCTGATTATATTAGATTCGCATCAAATTCGGTGAGAAGACTGAGAAATGTACAGGCAATCATATGGTTAAAGAATTTTGAAAATCGGCCGGTAACAACTTGAGTTATGAGTGTGTAAACACAAAATTGTGATTGCCGCGTTTCCCGCGTCGGCCGATGCCGCTTCAGCCGGCGACATCTTACCCTTAGCAGGCTTCTATGTAACTGCCATATTTATTGTTGGATTATCTATAAATTCACCATACATACTCATAAATGTTTGCTCTTTCGTATAGTGAAAGATTTAAAAAAAATCGGCCGGTAACTTTTTGAGTTATCGGCGTGTAAACGCAAAAAAGTCGCTAATATGGCAGATTTGACCACATTTGACCTCATTTGACCTTGAAGATATTGACCTAGGGTCACGAAATTCACACACAACAGAGTTCCCTATGGCTCCCACCTACCCTCCAAATTTTGTCTTTCTAGCTCCAGTGGGAGCTGAGATCTTAGGGGGGGGGGGGCGACATCCGCCCCCCCCCCTTCCACTGGGCGTAGTACTCGCAACCCTTCCACTGCGCGTGTTAATAAAAATGCACCTCGTCTCGTTTTATCAATCTCAGCATCTACACTAGCGACATATTTCCGCCATGTCTGATGCTACAAATATCTCGCTCTCGACATGTTCTCCGTAGTGGCGCCTCCCTGAGTTTGTCCGTGATTCCGCTGGTATCCTGAAACACAAACAGAGCAGGCTTGTATAAATCAAATATGAGGCCTTAGACAACCGAAACAACATGAAAAATGCAGCACACGTATTTATCAGTACATATTTATTAACAACATTTTCTCGTTATTTTGTAATGAAAACGTAGAATACTGAAATAATTTTCCACAAAGAAATTACCTCACGCCGGTCACTGTGGGTGTCGCCGCTCCTGGCCGTGCCGCCGGCGGCTGAGGCGCCGCTCCAGATCCTGCCACTCCTGCCGGTGACGTCTCCTCTGCTCCTCCAGCTCCTGGTTGTGCCGCTCCTGGAGCTGGATGAGCTGCTGGCGGTGTCTTCGCGTTACCTCTATCAGGTTCCGCAGGTTTTGGCAGCGCCGGCTCGGCAGCCGCTCCTGCTGTTGTGGTTCTGGTTCATGTTGTTGTTGATGACGTCGTCGTCGTCGTTGTTGTTCTAGTTGTTGTTCTTGTTCTTGTTGTTGCTGTTGTTGTTGTTGTTGTTGTTGTTGTTGTTGTTGTTGTTCTTGTTCTAGTTGTTGCTGTTGTTGTTGTTCATGTTGCTGTTGTTGTTGTCGTCGTTGCCGCTTTTGCTTGCCTGAAATCAGAAGGACAAAAGTCAATACTTGTACAGATTCTGAATGAAAGGGTTGTAGGGTGTTTCTATTCATTTTCAAATAGTCTCCGGCTATAAAATCAACATAAAATATGTAAAGCTCAGGTGACTGTACACATGATCTAGCTGCAAAATGGTTGACAAGCAACGCTATGAATAATAGACCTTACCTCGCTCAACTGGCTTATCCTCCTCCTTCTTGACTATGAGGTTCTTCTCCTGCACCCTCCCGCTTTCCTTCTCCTTCTTCCCAAGCTTCTTCTTCTTCTCCAGTACCTTCTCCAGCTCCTCCCCTTTCTCCTTCTCCTTCCCCTTCTCCAGCTCCTTCTCCCTCTCCTTCTCCTTCTCCTTCTCCAGCACCTTCTCCTTCTCCTTCTCCTTCTCCTTCTCCTTCTCCTTCTCCTTCTCCTTCTCCAGCTCCTTCTCCAGCTCCTTCCGCAGCTGCCGACGCCTCCTGCTACACTCCTCCATCAGCCGAGCCAGCTCCTCCCCGGACTGCATGTTCGGGTATCTCTCCTCCAGCTCTTGTGACTCCCTGAGGTGTTTCTGTTTCAGTTTGTTCCACTGCGTGTGGACCTTCTGCTCCAGGTCTCCCCACTCTATTTGGTGTTGCCACTCCAGTACTGCTAACTGCCTTCGGTTTCTCCGGTCCAGCAGCTCCAACTGTCTCTGACGTCTCTCTTGCTGCGCCTGTCCCTGATACTGCAGCTCCACGCATCTGGTAACACTCTCGTGACGCTGATGGAGCCTTTTCCGCTCGTCATGGTGCAGTATTTCCATGCTCCGCCACTTTCTGTCATGAATCCGCTCCAGACGCCGGCGCTCCTCATCATGCTGCTGGTTGAGACTCCTCCTTTCCCCGTGACCCCGCCGCTCCAGCTGCTGACACAGCTGCTGGCGCTGTCGCTCCAGCTGCTGCCATTTCTCTCGCTGAGGGCTGGGCAGACACCCTGATGTCTGGTCCTCGTCTGCGCTGCGCCGCTCCTCGCCACCGGCCTGACCGTCGTCGTCATCCTGCTCCGAATCTGAAACATACCAATTAGGTAGAAAATATTAGGTGGGTGGTCGTTGAATCGACGAATTGCTTAGCACTCAACAACCACAACTCAATGATAAATTGAATAAACAGATCTCGTCTCGGGAAGATCACATCATTGCACGCATGTCGATTTTCATTCATTGCACTGGTAGGTATTTCTCAGTCGTTTTTGGAATGACACTGGAACTTGGAAGCAAATAAAACGACGGATTGGAGCATTGGTTGGCGTCAATATCGTCTTACCCTCTGAGTCGGCCTCGTGCACCGCCAGGTAGTGCGACGTCATCTCCCATCGGTCCGGCCACCAGCCGGTGATAGCGTTGTACATCGTCCGCAGCCGGTCACCGGACAGCAGCTGCTGCAGTCGGCGGCGCCAGAGGCCGGCCGTGGCGTCCACAGACGCGGCGTCCATCTCTGGTAGTTTGACACGGAGCCGCTTATGCAGGTTAGTGTTGAAGAGATGCTCCAACTTCTCCCGAGTCTCCTGGTAGGAACCCAGTGGTCGGTAGTTTTTCATCCAACTGTTCTCCACCTCCCGGTCATTATCCCGCCACCAGGCCATTTTACCCGGCGCATTCACTCGCACAGCCTGCAGCAGCAGCTCGGGCCGCAGCAGCAGCTCGGCACGGCCCCGCGTCGTGTCGAGTTCGGCGGTCAGTCCGGCCGGCCGTTCCTCCAGCGGCCGCCGCAGCTGCTGACTACACCAGGTCTCCACTTTGTCCGGGTCACCCAGCAGGAGATCGAGATCAGATCTGGTGAGGAGTTTATCAGGGGGCCCACGTCCAGCGTGACGATGTCGCTGACCTGTGACGTCATCGGTGTCCCTAACTGCATGTCTGCTGAGTCGACCACCACCCATGCCATGAACATGAGACACTGCTGCAGGTATGTTTCTGATTTGGTGTAATGCCACCACTGTAATAGAAGTGGGGCTGTGCGGACCAGTGGAGGGATGTTCTCCTTCCACCACCACTCCCAGCACGGAGCTGTGTGGCGGACAGAGACACCCTCAAAGACAGCCTGTCGGACGAGCGTCCTTCCGAGACGGAGCCGCAGCTGGGGCTCTCGCTGGCGGTCTTTGAGGGGCTCCAGCAGCAGATCCACATTCCACAGATTTTCACAGCATCCCATCAGAAGATGCGTGACATACTCCCTCATCAGCTGCATGATGTCAATGATAGCCCGCCGCTCTACGGTGCTGAGTTCAACTGCCACATCGATGTTATGATCGAAAAAACACGGAATTTTCCCGGCGTTCAATTTGTCCTCCAGCCAGTCAAGTATTTTGTTGACACCGTCGGTGACGCCCTTCCACATTGAAGCTGGAATGGTTTGAGCCAGCCAAAGCCCGGCCGTTTTTATAAAGTATGATTTTAATGGCACATCTTCGCTTATCACCTCGCTCTTTTTCAAAGAATTTTTCATGGCTTTTACTGCAACAATAGCTGCTCGTATGACTGGAGCGAGATATCGAACTGTGATCACCTCCGCCCGTGAGTAGGAAATCCGAAACTCAATAAACTCGGTGTCGCTGCCGGGCCGGCCGGTCGGCACAAGGTGTACTCCGAATCGTCGGATGTCAACCCTGGCCGCTGCTGGCGGGAAGTCCACCTTCAGGTGACAGCTGTCTAGCTGGTCTGCCGGCCACCACCCGCGCACAAGAATGCACGGCACAAAGTCCATGCCTCCGTCTGAGATATCATCTGACGACTTGACGTTAACAGCCGGTCCGGCAGTATTGATTTTGCCGTCTTGCATAATCCGACATGATGCCACCATTAGCTGGCGGATGGAGTCGGCCGGCAAGGCCTCCAGCGGCTTATCATGACTGCATTTAGTCGTCTTGACCCAGTGCAGCGTCACAAATCCAGGGTTTTTGGTCGGTCGAGCCCACATTTGTGGTGCCGACTTCGGCGTAATAACGGCCGGCTCATCTCTCTTTCCGAGTACCGCCCATTGAAATGGAGCATCGAACTCGAACATCAGATCAAAATCTGACGTTCCGCCAATGCCCACTACCAAGTCCGTCAGTCCCTCGGCACTGCTGCCTGATCTATTGATGGAGGCAACTCTGAGGGGGTGGTCGGACTGACAGTGTCGACAACGGGCGGCGGCGGCGTCATTAACATCCAGCAGGGCTGCCATGAGTGGATAATCTACCAGCGTGGTGACAGAGTGTCTTACCTCTGCCGCGGTACAGTAGGCCTGCCACCCGGTGGAGTGGTTGCTCCGAATGTCGTGTGCCAACAGCAGAGTGTCGGGGATCAGATGTGCACACGATCCGTACTTCTGCACCAGATTCCTGACCTCCCAATCAAAGCACCTTTCCAACCTCCTCTTCCGCTCCTCCTTCCCCACACCGAACAAGTCAGCTCGTGACATGGCTGCCGGCTGCTCTGACTCTCCCAGACTGACTGAGGCCGGCCGACGTCGCTGTAGATATATACCGACCCCGACAGGAACACAGATAAGAGGGAACGCTCTGTGGCCGTGTCCGTCCAGTGGCAGCGACTGACGCGATGCAGTGGTGAAGTCGGTGGCAGCGCTGTTGTTGGGGATATAGTTTGATGTAAGTCCACATGCCTTTGTGTTGTCACTAGCACTGAGAGGTCTAATAACGTAATATTTTCGCATTTAGGGCATGCCGTTCATAACCAGCGTTCAAATCTCCAACTATACATAGGATCGACTGGGTCTAGGCCCTGGCCTAGGGTGTACACCACAGTAAGGCGTTAATTGAAACCCAAACACCGGTTCCTTTACACCGCTTCCGTCGATTGTCGGTTACATCCGTTGTTATGATATATATTGAGTAGGAAAAACATACAGCACATGGGTGGACGCGTTTCGTCAGAGACTTTTTCAACACCCGAATATCCGTTGTTATACTGCTAAGTGCTAACGATGACACCCGTTTTGAAGTATGACCCAGAATGATGGTCACGTGACAAGGACTCAGCCCCAGTCCCGGAAATAATCGCTAGGTTTCACGAAAAAAATGACTTGATGCCCATAGCCCTAAGGAAATCACAATTTTGCCTACTCCTCTGAGAAGTTTAAACGAAGCATTGATCCTTCCGTTGTCGTGCGCACACATCAAGACAATTTTTAACGTATATGCAGATGTTGTGTTTGCTGTTACGTCCAATCACCATTCTGACCTGACATGATCTCGAGAGATGTGATTGATCAATTGTTATTGCTATCAGGGTCAATCGATTTTCAGCTCGATAAGTTGTAAAATCGAACCCCACGAGGTCACTCAAAGTTTTGTCACCTTCCTGCTATATTACATGAGCTATTTTTGGAAATCCGAAAGGGGGATCTCCCTGCTCAGTGCTATGCTGTAAATAAAAGTACAAATGTCACAACTGGACTGTTCGGACACCTCTGACACTGGCTATCCTCCACTGGGAGGTATTTTGAGCTGGGTGTCACCCGTGCTGACGTCAGTCAGTGACCTCCGTCCTATTCACTCACGGTGCTGTACAAAACGCTACGGAGTCCGGGTGTCTGTGGGTCAGTGATCCCCACCCCGTGGCGGGCCGGGTGTTCTGTGGGTCAGTGATTCACAGCACGTGGCGGGCCGGGTGTTCTGTGGGTCAGTGATTCACAGCACGTGGCTGGCCGGGTGTTCTGTGGGTCAGTGATCCACAGCACGTGGCTGGCCGGGTGTTCTGTGGTCAGTGATCCACAGCCCGTGGCGGGCCGGGTGTTCTGTGGGTCAGTGATACACCCACAGCCCGTGGATGGTCGGGTGTTTTGTGGGTCAGTGATCCACAGCCTGTGGCGGGCCGCACCTCGTGTCTGGTGGGAATGGAGCGTGACGTCACCGATATAGTGGCCGCCGGCACCTCCGGTCGGCACGTCCCAACTAGTTTGTGAGACATATAAGACAAAATAATATATCGAGAATGGCTGCTTCGTGACGATGCTGGACGGTCTCACAAATCCAAACTAGGAGAGTCTGTTGGTACACTCAGTTCTGTTCTCTCTATGAACCCTCTGGTAGTCTGAGGTGACGGTCAGAGAGGAGAGGACCGCTGCAGCCACGGTAAGCTGGCGGACGGGGATGACGTCACTGCTGACCCTTAGGTCACTGAAGGTCATCGAAGTTCAAACTTCGGAAGGAAATAAAAGATCGTTGCCAAAATGCCCTTTCAACCAGCAAAGTGTATGTTACGATTGTCTGACTGGGACCTGTTTCAACTTCTCAAATCCTACGAACCTGACAATGAGCCATGGGCTGTTATCCTCCTGTAGCCTTACCCGGGCAAGTCGCGTCAGCTCTATAAGTTGTGCAGTACTTTCCAGACTGGCATGATGTCACCGCCCCCCCCCCCCTCTGACCGACGCCACGCCAACCGCACCATCCTGCCTGCGGCTGGAGGAGACGGCAGTGTCATCCCGCCTATCTGACGTCCTTCCTGGCCAGCTGCGGCTGCAGTGGCCGTCACCCTTCCTGTGTTAGACGCGGTGGTTCGGAGCAGCGCTATCGGTGAAGTCCGGCCGGCCCGGAGTCTTTGTATAGGTTACTCGTATTTCGTTCTGATATTATGTACATTGCTTCCAGTAGCCAACATGTTCAATGGCTTCGATGTAACGGTTCGTTACACAGATTCCCATCACCACACCGACAACTGGCCTTATGTCCGGTCATCGAAAGATGGGGATGGAGACGGCTGTTTGTATAGTATTAACAGAGCGCCACAACACTGCACAATACATGTGTCATGAAAAACAGCCCATAACCAACACAAGGTGTTCGGAGAGCCAACATCAATGTCACCTTCTATGTATAGCATTAGTCATTAACCCTCGCCGGCCGAGGGGGGGGGGGCGGGTTCCGCCCCCCCATAGGGTTTTTTCGCAATAGCTCCGAACACAATGGCGATAGAGAGCTGAAACTTGGCATACCTGACCTTTGATCCAAGCCGGATCTTTTGACACCAACCACCTTTTTGGGTCAGGTCAGGTCACTGACCTATGACGTCATAAGTGAACCTCTGCACGGTCTTCAGATGTCGCAACTTCGCAACGCCCTCACTGCCAGAGGAGATGTCACAGAGAAATGAAACTTGCAGGATCTAGTATCCATTATGAGTCCCACAACTTGTATATCTCGGATTTTTCCTAAAGTTTATATGAGGTCAGGTCATTTTCGTGACCTCACCATTATAAGTCAACGGGGAAAAATGAAAACTGCTATTCTGGCGCCGGGAACGATCTCCAACTATCTCAAGCACACAGAATCGTGATTTGATGCACTCCTTGCAAGGTTAGATGCGTCACTTTTGCAATGTTGACCTTTCGTGACGTCATTTATGACGTCATCAAGGTCATATTAGTTTTTCGTCAATAACTCTTGATCAAATTGAGCTAGCGAGTCGGGAAAGCCACCAATGGACTCAGGAAGGCCTGCCGAATCGCATGATATGCAACATGACCTCTTTCGACCAACTTCGTGACCTGGGGGTGCTGACCTGACCTTGACCTGAGGTCAACACCCCAAGTTGACCTGACCCGAACAAAAAGTATATCATTCGACGCGCCTGAGCGAGGCGAACACGATGCTGCCAAAATCGCGGCTCTGCGGCCGTTTTTTGCGAAGTTATTCACCAAAAACTAAACCGTTCCCTGGGGCACTTGACCTGACCTCAGAGGTCACCGGTTGACCTAGGACCTTAAAATTGGGTACCAATCTCTGCGTCTCGTAACGGCGCACACGCTCGTTTTTTCCGCGACGCGCTAGCTCCACCAGGGGCGAAACGGCGAGGGGGGGTCGTACCCCCCCCCCTCGGCCGGCGCGTATGTAGAAAACCAATAGGTCCGGCGAGGGTTAACACGCGCAGTGGAAGGGGGGGGGCGAATTCGGCCGGTAACTTTTTGAGTTATCGGCGTGTTAACGCAAAAAAGTCGCTAATATGGCAGATTTGACCACATTTGATCTCATTTGACCTTGAAGTTATTGACCTAGGGTCATGAAATTCACACACAACAGAGTTCCTTATGGCCCCCACCTACCCCCCCCCCAAATTTCGTCTTTCTAGCTCCAGTGGGAGCTGAGATCTTAGGGGGGCGACATCCGCCCCCCTTCCACTGGGCGTAGTACTCGCAACCCTTCCACTGCGCGTGTTAACCCGCGCGGGGCTGGGTCTCCAGCCGAACGCGCGGGGCTGGGGGGGGGGGTAAATTTTACCCCCCTGTTATCTCCCGAACTAATGGTCCGATTTGAAAAATTCAAACGCCAATCGAAAGATCTCATCACGAACAACTAAAAACATGTACTTAATTTTAAGTTTGAGGTCAAGGTCAAGGTCAGGTCAAGGGTACAAATTGCAAGTTCCTACAGTATCGGCCTTGCACCGTAGTTGCCGAAGAATGGAGTCATGGACTGAGACTGATCGCCCAAAACGTGTTCTTAGGCTACCAAGACAATATTCGTTGCATACAATATCATTCAGAGGTCAAGGTCAAGGTCAGGTCAGGTCAGGTCAGGTCACCAAAAACAAAATATAGAAAAGGGCATGTGCGACACATGTTTTATGGGTCATTTTACTCATAGAATTCAATAGGCACACTCAATAAGTGATATGGACCACCTCTGGATGAATTTCAGGTCGAGGTCAGGTCAAGGTCAGGTCAAGTGAGGTCAAATTTTGAAGTTGGTTGTTAAGGCCTAAAAAGGTGTCTATCTGATGCAGTTTTTCACGGCGAATCGAATGGTGCTACTTTTGTTTCCGTACGAGGTCTAGAACTTCCAAAAAAGTCATTTTTCAAAATTTTTGTGTGTCGTGACGTCATACAATTTTGAATAACTCCCACATTTTTGAACCGATTCTTCCAAAACTTGGTTTGTAGGTGCACATAGACCACTTCTCTGACATATATTCCGTTTTTTTCGATAAACTCAAAATTTTGGATTTTATAGCTATTTTCCCAAAAAGGTCAGTTTTTTGAAAAAATTGGGCCAAAATCCATAATTTTCAAAAAACCGAGATAGCCATTTGATAGACAAAGTAAAATTACGTATATCCTTTTTTGTTACGTCTTGATTCCTTTAGAAATGAAGATGTTAGCGGCGTTTGAACTTTTGCCGTTTTTGAGGCGAAAATGGCGAACATGACGTCACTAAAACGTCAATATCTCAAAAAATTTCCGACGGATTTCGCTCGAATTTTCAGGGAACGTGTCAAATTGATGTAAGAAAAGGTACTAAAAGTTTGGCGGCGCTGCGCGCCGCCGTTTTTCAGATATTGCAAAAATTCGCGAGGGGGGGTAAAATTTACCCCCCCCCCCAGCCCCGCGCGGGTTAACCCACGAGCCGCTGGGGGCATAAAGTTGCCCCCCTTTACGTTTTGTGAAATATCTCCGAAACCTGATGAGCTACGAGCGTGAAACTTGGCATAGCTTCAAATGAATACCTAGGCAATGTTTGAGGAAAGTTTGGTGGTTTTAGCACCTAAGATGACGTCACAGTGACGTCATAAAGTTTTGTCGTTTTCCGATATGGGCCGTTTCTGATGACGCTGAGCATGAAACTCGACTGTAAATGAACTAGACAGCACCTGCCGTCATCCTAAAACATCTTACTACACTTCCATCTAGTTTCTGACCAATAATCGGCCCTTTATATTCGGTCCCATATATGTGATGCATCGTGAGGAATATGAGAGTCGTAAATCTATAATTTCACTTATGACGTCACTGTGACGTCATTGCAAATGGGATCGACACCAAATTTGGACACAACCTTGGCTAGGTATTCAGGAAGATGTGTGCAAAGTTTCGCTTCTCTAGCTCTTCGCGTTGCGACGATATCGTCGCAGAAGTAAAGGGGGGCAACTTTATGCCCCCCCCTCCAGCGGCCGGCGGGTGGCGCGGAGGCCCAGCGGCCGCCGGGTTAAAGCTACATTTTGCAGTCGTAAAAACAACACTACCTAACTTTTATCAACCATGACCATACAAACGCTATAGGGCATTGCCTTCTTCGCCATCACATGAGCACTGACCTTATAAGCATTAAGAAAAATGCAGCTGGTCTCGTTTTATCAATCTCAGCATCTACACTAGCGACATATTTCCGCCATTTCTGATGCTACAAATATCTCGCTCTCGACATGTTTTCCGTAGTGGCGCCTCCCTGAGTTTGTCCGTGACTCCGCTGGTATCCTGAAACACAAACAGAGCAGTCTTGGATAAATCAAATATGAGGCCTTAGACAACCGAAACAACATGAAAAAGCAGCACACGTATTTATCAGTACATATTTTTTAACCCATTAGATTTTTCATTAGATTAGATTTGTATTTTCTCGTTACTATGTAATGAAAACGTAGAATACTGGAATAATTTTCCACTACGAAATCACCTCACGCCGGTCACTGTGGGTGTCGCCGCTCCTGGCCGTGCCGCCGGCGGCTGAGGCGCCGCTCCAGATCCTCCCGCTCCTGCCGGTGACGTCTCCTCTGCTCCCCCAGCTCCTGGTTGTGCCGCTCCTGGAGCTGGATGAGCTGCTGGCGGTGTCTTCGCGTCACCTCTATCAGGTTCCGCAGGTGTTGACAGCGCCGGCTCGGCTGCCGCTCCTGCTGCCGTGGTTCTGGTTCATGTTGTTGTTGTTGACGTCGTCGTCGTCGTTGTTGTTGTTGTTGTTTTTGTTGTTCTAGTTCTTGTTCTTGTTGTTGCTGTTGTTGTCGTCGTTGTTGTTGTCGCTCTTGCTTGTCTGAAATAAGAAGGACAAGACTTAAAAAGATCCTGAATGAAAAGGTTGTAGGGTGCTTCTATTTATTTTCAAATAGTTTCCGGATATAAAATCAACATAGGGTATGTAAACCACGTGACTGCGCACATGATTTAGCTGCAAAATTGTTGACAAGCAATGTTATTTAACAGTAAAGCTTACCACGCTCAACTGACTTATCCTCCTCCTTCTCCACTTTCAGGTTCCTCTTCACCTTCCTGCTTTCCCTCTCCTTCTCTTTCTCCTTCTCCAGCTCCTTCTCCAGCTGACAGCTCTTTCTTCTTCTCCTTCTCTTTCTCCTTCTTCTTCTCCTTCTCCTTCTCCTTCTCCAGCTCCTTCTCCAGCTCCTTCTCCAGCTCCTTCTCCAGCTCCTTCCGCAGCTGCCGACGCCTCCTGCTGCACTCCTCCATCAGCTGATCCAGCTCCTCACCTGACCAAATGTTCGGGTATCTCTCCTCCAGCTCTTGTGACTCCCTGAGGTGTTTCTGCTTCAGTTTGTTCCACTGCGTTTGGACCTTCTGCTCCAGGTCTCCCCACTCTATTTGGTGCTGTCGCTCCAGTACTGCTAACTGCCTTCGGTTTCTCCGGTCCAGCAGCTCCAACTGTCTCTGACGTCTCTCTTGCTGCGCCTGTCCCTGATACTGCAGCTCCACGCACCTGTTAACACTCTCGTGCCGCTGATGGAGCCTCTTCCGCTCGTCATGGTGCCGTATTTCCATGATCTGCCACTTTCTGTCATGAATCCGCTCCAGACGCCGGCGCTCCTCATCATGCTGCTGGTTCAGACTCCTCCTTTCCCCGTATCCCCGCCGCTCCAGCTGCTGCCACAGCTGCTGGTGCTGTCGCTCCAGCTGCTGCCATTTCTCTCGCTGAGGGCTGGGCAGACCCTCTGATGTCTGGTCCTCGTCTGCGCTGTGCCGCTCCTCGCCACCGATCTGACCGTTGTCATCATCCTGCTCCGACTCTGAAACATACCAATTAGGTAGACAATATCAGCTGGGTGGGCGTTCAACAGACGAACTACTTAGCAGATCATCCGCGCCCCCACGGGGGGCCTGTTTATAGCGCGACCTGGTGGGGGGAGGGGGCTATTTTTTGCCCCCCCCCGTCGTATCTCCGAAACTACTGGACGGATTCGCAAACTTCATACAGCTTTCGATAGCCTTGTCAAATCTTCCAAATGAAGTGTAATTTTATTGACCTCGTGGTCACCGATGACGTCACAGGTCAGGTCAAAAATAAAGTGTTTCACCGTTCACGTGTCTTCTATGGAATGCGCTATAACATCGAGTAAAACGCAATATATCGAAAGTCATCGATAGAGCGTCAGTTGCCTAGAGAATGTTGCCAATATGTTGCCAATAGAGGTCATGATACGAGATCTGGTCCAGAGGTCAGGTCACCGAGGGTCAGCACAGTAACCCAATTTTACTAGGGCTGTGTGATGCATGTTTTATGGCCAACTAATTATATTCAACCCAATGGTGTTGGTTACACGACCATCAGGAGCAAGGTAGGCTACTTTCTGGTGAAGGTCAGGTAAAAAAAAAGTGAAATTTTAAAGTTGATTTAATATTTTGGCATAAAATGGGTATAGGTTCGATGCAACTTGTCACGGGGAGTCTAACGGTGGTCCTTATTTTACGTTACGTGGTCTCTAACTGGTAAAAATTGAGTTTGAAAATTTGACGTCTGCATCAATTTGAAACGTGCTTTTCCCTATACTTGTCTAAAACAAGAGGTATCGATTTCAAATTTGGTATGTGGATGGAAGACGATCGGAACAATCATATTTATTGCCTTTTTTGAAATTCGGAAAAAAAAACATTTGGGATGTTTTGCTAATATATCAAAACAACTTTTTTTTTGTTTTGGGGAGTCAAAATCCAATAGGTAATTTACAAATCCAAGATAACAGTTTTATAGCCCCGGTAATTCTACAACTTTTATGTCTTGAACGTTTTTTGTTTCGTCATAGCTGCAGGCCTGACGGCTCTTCCCACAAAACCTTATTTGGGGGTCGACAATGGCAGAACATGACATTATTATGACGTAATTTGCGGTCAACCAATCATAACCTTTGGGAACATTGTTGGTCACAATGTGTAAAATTGATGCCAGAGGGATACTAGATGTTTGATGGCAACTGGCGAAGTAGTTTTGGAGATATATCGAAAAGGCTGGAAAGGGGGGGGGGGGCAAAAAATAGCCCCCCTCCTACCATAGCGCAGATTAACAACCACAAGTCAGCAATATAATAAAAAAACAGGATCTGGTCACGGGAAGATCACGACGTCTGACTCGTATCGATTTTCATCCGTTGCAGTAGTATTTCTAAGTCATTCCTGGAATGAGGCTGGGAGCAAAGGAAACAACAAATTTGAGTATTGATTGGCGGCTCTATCGTCTTACCCTCTGAGTCGGTCTCGTCGACAGCCAAGTAGTACGGCGTCATCTCCCATCGGTCCGGCCACCAGCCGGTGATAGTGTTGTAGACCGTCTGCAGCCGGTCACCGGACAGCAGCTGTTGCAGCCGGCGGCGCCAGAGGCCGGCCGTGGCGGCTACGGACGCGGCGTTCATCTCAGGCAGTTTGACACGGAGCCGCTCATGCAGGTTAGCGTTGATGTGCCGCTCCATCCACTTACGGGTCTCCTGGTAGGTATACATTGGTAGAAAGTTTTTCATCCACATGTTCTCCGTTGCCCGGTCTTCATCCCGCCACCAGTTCATTTTACCCGGTACGTTCTCGCGCACCGCCTGCAGTAGCAGCTCGGGCCGCAGCAGCAGCTCGGCACGGCGCCGCGGCGTGTCCAGCTCGGCGATCAGTCCGGCCGGCCTTTCCTCCAGCGGCCGCCGCGGCTGCTGACGCCACCAGGTGGCCACCTTGTCCGGGTCACCCAACAGATACTCCAGGTCAGATCTGGTGAGGAGTTGTATCAGCGGGGTCGCGTCCAGCGTGACCATGTCACTGGCCTGTGATGTCATCGACGTCCCGTCCAGCAGGTCCGCCGGTTCGACCACCACCCATGCCATGAACATGAGACACTGCTGCACATATGCTCCTGAGTCGGTGTAATGCCACCATTGTAGTAGAAGTGGGGCTGTGCGGACCAGCGGAGGGATGTTCTTCTTCCACCAGCTCTCCCAGCACGGGGCTGTGTGGCGGAAACGAACACCGTCAAGTACCGCCTGTCGCACTAGCGTCCGTCCCAGTCTGAGCCGCACCTCACGCTCTGTGAGCGGCTCTATTCCGCCATCCAGCAGCAGATCCACGTCCCACTGATCCTCACAGCTTGCCATCAGAAGGAGCGTGACATGCTCCCTCATCAGCTGTATGGTATCGATGATAGCCCGTCGCTCTACGGTGCTGAGTTCAGCCGCCACTTCGATGTTATGATCGAAAAAGCAAGGCATTTTTCCGGAGTTCAATTTTTCTTCCAGCCAGTCAAGTATTTTGTTGACACCGTCGGTGACGCCTTTCCACATTGCAGCTGGCATGATTTGCGCTAGCCAGAGTCCTGCCGTTTTTATAAAGTATGACTTCAAAGGCACATCGTCGGTTATTACCTCATTCTTTTTCAAGGTATTTTTCATGGCTTTTACAGACACAATAGCCGCTCGTATGACTGGAGCGAGGTGTCGAATCGCGATCACCTCCGCCCGTGAGAATGAAATCCGAAACTCGATTAACTCGGTGTCGCTGCCGCGCCGGCCGGTCGGCACAAGGTGAACTCCGAATCGTCGGATGTCAGCGCTCGCTGCTGCTGGTGGGAAGTCCACCTCCAGGTGACAGTCTTCGAGCTGGTCTTCAGCTGGCCACCAACCGCGCACAAGGATGCAGGGCACGAAGTCAATGCCGCCGTCTGTAGGATCATCTGGCGACTTTACGTTGACAGCTGGTCCGGCGGTGCTGATTTTGCCGCCTTTCATAATCCGACATAATTTCAGCATAAGCTGGCGGATGGAGTCAGCCGGCAGTGCTTCCAGCGGCTTATCATGACTGCACTTAGTCGTCTTGACCCATTGCAGCTTCACAAAGCCTTGGTTTCTGGTCGGTCGAGCCCACAGCTGTGGTGCAGACTGTGGACTTATAACGGCCGGCTCCTCTCTCTTTCCGGGCGCCGCGCAGTGGAATGGTGCGTCGAACTCGAACATCAGATCAAAATCTGACGTTCCACCAACGCCCACTACCAAGTCCGCCAGACCTTCGGCACTGCTGCCCGATCTATTGATGGAAGCTATTCTGAGGGGCTGGCTTGGTTGGCAGTGCCGACACCGGGCGGCGGCGGCGTCATTGATATCCTGCAAGGCTGCCATGAATGGATAATCTACCAGCCCGGTGACAGTGTGTCTTATCTCAGTCTTGGTACAGTAGGCCTGCCACCTGGTGGAGTGATTGTTCCGAATGCCGCTTGCCAAAAGCAGAGTGTCGGGGATCAGATGTCCACACGATCGGTACTTGTCCGCTAGCATCCTCACTTTCCAGTCAAAGCACCTTTCCAACCTCCTCTTCCGCTCCTCCTTCCCCGCACCGAACAAGTCAGCTCGTGACATGGCTGCCGGCTGCTCTGACTCTCCCGGACTGACGAAGGCCGGCCGACGTCGCTGTAGATATATACCGACCCCGACAGGAACACAGATAAGACGGAACGCTCTGTGCCCGTGTCCGTCCAGTGGCAGCGACTGACGCGATGCAGTGGTGAAGTCGGTGGCAGCGCTATTGTTGGAGATATAGTTTGATGTAAATCCACATGTCCTTGTGTTGTCACTAGTACTGAGAGATCTAAGTTGTAGTACTGAGAGATCTGAGTTGTCACTAGTACCTGGGAGATCAGCAGCCGACTAGATGGGATATGGTTCCGCATCACACTAATCGGTACACTCTCTGATACACCAGGCCTGCCCCGCTTCGGTCCCGGTATGAGTGCGGATTCTGCGCTCAATAGTACAGTCCACAGCAAAAGTAATGTGGAGTTTCAGTCATGGGTATGTTCTGCTTCTGAAGCTTAGGAACGATTAGCCAGACTACAATGAAACTTTGAATGTAGCTTATATGTATCGTCACCCTTGCAGCTGCAACTTTAGCTATTGACATCTTCTTTTCGATCACTCCGCATTAAACAATCGCCAGTCAAAGCCAACCGTTGAGATTGGTAAAACCCTACATTACTTTAGCGGTGGGCTGTACCTATTGGGACACTCGGCACTAGACTTTATCAATCCTCTCGTATGTCTGAGGCAATGGTCATGGAGGCGAGGACCGCTGCAGCCACGGTGGACTGGCGGCCGGGGTGAAGTCACTGCTGACCCTTAGGTCACTGAAGGTCATGAAAGTAGTGAAATAGTTTTGACGATTGCATTTGCAACTAGCAATGTGTAATGTGTATGTACATGTACCGAAGATCTGTTTCACATTCTCAAATTTCACTAACCTGACCAAAAAGCCACAGGCTGTCATGATCATGTGACCTCAACCGAGCAAGTCGCGTCGCATCTATTTTGCGCAGTGTTTTCCAGACTGGATGATGTCACCGTCCCCTTCCCCCTCTCGGACCGGCGCCACGCCAACCGCACCATCCTGCCTGCGGCTAGTGGAGACGGCGGTGCCAGCCATCCTATCTGACGTCCTTCCTGGCCAGCTGCGGCTGCAGTGGCCGTCACCCTTCCTGTGTTAGACGCGGCGGTTCGGAGCAGCGCTATCGGTGGAGCCCGGTGTCTCGTCGCCTTTGTATAGGTTACTCGTATTTCGTTCTGATACTATGTACATTGCTTCCAGTAGCCAACATATTCAATGGCTTCGATGTAATGGTTCGTTACACAGATTCCCATCACCACGCCGACAGCGGGCCTTATGTCCGGTCATCGAAAGATGGGGATGGGAACGTCTGTTTGTATAGTATTTACAGAGCTTCACAACAATGCACAATACATGCGTTATGAAAAACAGCCCATAACCAACATACGGTGTTGGGAGAGCCAACATCAATGTCACCATCTATAGCATTACTCAAACTACATTTTTCAGTCGTAAACACAACATATATGTCACTTATATCAACCATGACTAAACAAACTCTATATGCATTGCTAACATCGCCATCACATGAGCACTGACCTGATAAGCATTAATAAAAATGCACCTGGTCTCGTTTTATCAATCTCAGCATCTACACTAGCGACGTATTTCCGCCATGTCTGATGCTACAAATATCTCGCTCTCGACATGTTCTCCGTAGTGGCGCCTCCCTGAGTTTGTCCGTGATTCCGCTGGTATCCTGAAACACAAACAGAACAGGCTTGTATAAATCAAATATGAGGCCTTTGACAACCGAAACAACATGAAAAATACAATACACGTATTTACTAGTTCATATTAACCCGCGCCCGGCTGGGGGTCCTGGATTGCCACGCCCTGCTGGGGGGGGGGGGGTGTTCAAACACCCCACCTTCTAACTCGGCTCCTGGGCCACGTAGCGATACGCAGAAGGCGGCGTTCGAAAGAGCGTAAAAAATAATGACGAAATCATTTCAGTCAATTTTTTGGTCAGGTCAAAGGTCAGGTCACCAGAGGTCATTGAAGGCAAAATTTCGCCGATCTCCAGGTCGAATGTCGACAATTTCCAAGAAGCTAACGCATAACTCGGGAACCAATAGAGCTACAGCGCTGCGGAAAAGCGCATTCGATAGCCCTATTAACGCTCTTTCTGAGTTATTCCCTCAGATTTGACCTAGCGTCAACGGTTTTGCCTGCAGGGGGTAAAAACTGCAAAAAAGCCGATTTTTTCGGAAACAGTTTTTCTGCAATAACTTTTGACCCAAACCTTGTACGAGCTTACTTTTACCGGCATCGTGTTCCTCTCGTCAAGACGCATCGAATGAACTATAACTTGACCTTGAAAGGTCAACTTGAAAATTTGACCTCAGGTCAAGGTCATGACCTGACCGGAAAGGGTCATGTTGCATATCAGTCGATCCGTATCGTCGAGCTGAACACATCTAAGGCGTTTTCATCGCTCTAGCATGCCTCTATCAAAAGTTATTTGCGAAAAACTGTTAGATACCATTCGTGACCTAAGATGACCTCAGGGGCATAACCAGGGGTCACGGACACCATTTTCATGTTCAGTGTGTCTAAACCACTTGTAATTCAGTGTTTGGGAGTGTTTTTAACCCGCGCCCAGATGGGGTCTGCAGAGCAACGCGGTCTGATGGGGGGGGGGCCATTTTGGCCCCCCCCTCAGATCTCGAGAACCACGCAACATAGCGACAAGCGGTAAACGGTGTTGGATAGCCCCAACGGGGAACTACCTTGTGACCCAATTTCATTGACCTCGGTCAAACCGATGACGTCACAGGTCAGGTCAAAGGTCGAATTTTCACCGTTTACAGGCATTTCAAGAAATGCGCTGTAAAATCGTGTAAAATGCATTTCATTGAAAATCATCGATGGGGAAATGTTCTTCAAACACATATTTTGCTATTTGAGGTCACTGATACCAGGTCAGGTCACAGAGGTCAGGTCACTGGGGGGGTCACAATATGAAAGTGTCATGTGATACATGTTTTATGGTCCATTTTACATGACAAATGCGATTATGTGGGTCAGACAGACTTTAGGGCCAGCTTAGGTCACGTTTTGGTCAAGGTCAGATCAAGGTCAGGTCAAGGTCAGGTCAAATTAGGTCAAATTTCAAAGTTGATATGTTTGCATAAAATGGGTATCGATTCGATGCAGCTCGTCACGGGGAGTTCAATGGTGGTCTCCGTTTTGCGCTACAAGGTCTAGAATTGCTAAAAATTGAGTTCAAAAATTTGACGTCATCAATTTTTAACAGTTTTTTCGCTATAACTTGGCCAAAAAAAGAGGTATCGATCTAAAATTTAGTATGTATATGGAAGAGCGCAGGGACTATCACATATATTCCGGTTTTTTTCGAAATTCGAAATTTTTTTGGAATTTCTTTGAGTTTTTCTAAAAAAATCAATTTTTTTGATTTTTGGGGGTCAAAATCCCAAAATTTCAAAAATCCGAGATAGCAGTTTTGTAGCGCCGTCTTTTTTCTACACAACCACATAAAGAACTTTAAAATTGCTTGTAACTGTAGAATTGGTGAGCGTTTCAAGATGTCATGTTTTTTGCTCATTTTTACACGAACATGACCTCAGTTTGACCTCAATAACTCCTGACCTGAGGTGACCTGTGACTTGAAATTTTGTGTGAAGGTGTCAAATTGATGCCCGGTAAGGTACCCAAAATTTGGCGGCGCTGCGCGCCGCCGTTTTCTCGCTATTTAAGAAAAACCACAGGGGGGCCAAAATGGCCCCCCCATCAGGGCGCGGGTTAATGCCTTTCGTCCAAAAGAGACGCATTTCAATTTTCTCCCATTGACTTATAATGGGGAGGTCGCAAAATTGACCTGACCTTAGGTCATCGATATCAAAATTCTGAGATATAAATTTTGTACATGCTATTGCTCTTAGTAATCGCTGAAAGTTTCAAAGCGATCGGTCACTCGGTGTAGCTATGGCAGACATTGAAACTTTTTATGAGGTGAGGTCACTTCAAGTGACCTGGTGACCTGACCATGAATGACCTTGGTCTGAAATTTTTACAACATGTGTAGAATTGATGTATAATAAGGTGTACCAAAAACGGCGGCGCTCCGCGCCGCCGTTTTTGAGATATCCGCGAAAAACCACAGGGGGATGTTCAAACACCCCCCCCCCCCCAGCAGGGCGCGGGTTAACAGTATTTTCTCGTTATCATGTAATGAAAACGTAGAATACTGGAATAATTTTCCACTACGAAATTACCTCACGCCGGTCATTGTCCGTTGCGCCGCTCCTGGCCGTGCCGCCGGCGGCTGAGGCGCCGCTCCAGATCCTGCCGCTCCTGCCGGTGACGTCTGCTCTGCTCCTCCAGCTCCTGGTTGTGCCGCTCCTGGAGCTGGATGAGCTGCTGGCGGTGTCTTCGCGTTACCTCTACCAGGTTCCGCAGGTGTTGACAGCGCCGGCTCGGCTGCCGCTCCTGCTGCCGTGGTTCTGGTTCATGTTGTTGTTGACGACGTCGTCGTCGCTGTTGTTGTTGTTGTTGTTGTTGTTCTTGTTGTTGTTGTTGTTGTCGTCGTTGTTGTTGATGTTGCTGTTGTTGTTGTCGTCGTCGTTGTTGTCGCTTTTGCTTGTCTGAAATCAGAAGGACAATAGTCAATACCTATACAGATTCTGAATGAAAGGGTTGTAGGGTGTTTTTATTCATTTTCAAATAGTCTCCTGCTATAAAATTAACATAGGATATGTAAAGCACGTGACTGCGCATATGATTCAGCTGCAAAATTGTTGACAGGCAATGTTATTAACACTAAACCTTACCACGCTCAACTGGCTTATCATCCTCCTTCTTCACTTTGAAGTTCTTCTCCTGCACCTTCCTGCTTTCCTTCTCATTCTCCAGCTCCTTCTCCTTCTCCAGCTTCTTCTCCATCTCCTTCTCCTTCTCCAGCTCCTTCCCCTTCTCCTTCTCCTTCTCCAGCTCTTTCTTCTTCTCCAGCTCTTTCTTCTTCTCCATCTCCTTCTCCTTCTCCAGCTCCTTCTCCAGCTCCTTCTTCTTCTCCTTCTCCAGCTCCTTCTCCTCCTCCTTCTCCAGCTCCTTCTCCAGTTCCTTCTTCTTCTCCTTCTCCAGCTCCTTCCCCAGCTCCTTCTCCAGCTCCTTCTCCAGCTCCTTCCGCAGCTGCCGACGCCTCCTGCTGCACTCCTCCATCAGCTGATCCAGCTCCTCCCCGGACTGCATGTTCGGGTATCTCTCCTCCAGCTCTTGTGACTCCCTGAGGTGTTTCTGTTTCAGTTTGTTCCACTGCGTTTGGACCTTCTGCTCCAGGTCTCCCCACTCTATTTGGTGCTGTCGCTCCAGTACTGCTAACTGCCTTCGGTTTCTCCGGTCCAGCAGCTCCAACTGCCTCTGACGTCTCGCTTGCTGCGCCTGTCCCTGATACTGCAGCTCCACGCACCTGGTAGCACTCTCGTGCCGCTGATGGAGCCTCTTCCGCTCGTCATGGTGCCGCATTTCCATGCTCTGCCACTTTCTGTCATGAATCCGCTCCAGACGCCGGCGCTCCTCATCATGCTGCTGGTTGAGACTCCTCCTTTCCCCGTGACCCCGCCGCTCCAGCTGCTGACACAGCTGCTGGTGCTGTCGCTCCAGCTGCTGCCATTTCTCTCGCTGATGGCTGGGCAGACCCCCTGATGTCTGGTCCTCGTCTGCGCTGCGTAGCTCCTCGCCACCGGCCTGACCGTCGTCGTCATGCTCCGAATCTGAAACATACCAATTAGGTAGAAAATATCAGCTATAAATATCGTTGAACCGACGAACTGCTTAGCACTAAACAACTAAAACTCAATGATAGAATGAATAAACAGGATCTGACCGCGGGAAGATCACAACATTGGACGCATATCGATTTTCATCCATTTCACTACATAGTAGGTATTTCTCAGTCGTTTCTTGAATGACACTGGAACTTAAAAGCAAATGAAACGACGGATTAAAGCATTGGTTGGCGTCACTATCGTCTTACCCTCTGAGTCGGCCTCGTGCACCGCCAGGTAGTGCGACGTCATCTCCCACCGGTCCGGCCACCAGCCGGTGATTGCGTTGTAGATCGTCCGCAGCCGGTCACCGGACAGCAGCTGCTGCAGCCTGCGGCGCCAGAGTCCGGCCGTGGCGTCCACAGACGCGGCGTCCATCTCTGGTAGATCGTCATGAAGCAACTTATGCAGGTTAGTGTAGATGTGCTGCTCCAACTTCTCCCGAGTCTCCTGGTAGGTATATATTGGTCGGAAGTTTTTCATCCATCTGTTTTTCTCTCTCTGGTCGATATCCCGCCACCAGGCCATCTTACCCGGTACGTTCACTCGCACAGCCTGCAGCAGCAGCTCAGGCCGAAGCAGCACCTCGGCACGGCCCCGCGACGTGTCCGGCTTGGCGGTCAGTCCGGCCGGCCGCTCCTCCAGCGGCCGCCGCAGCTGCTTACGCCACCAGGTGGCAACCTTGTCCGGGTCACCCAGCAGGAGATCGAGGTCAGATCTGGTGAGGAGTTGTATCAGGGGGCCCACGTCCAGCGTGACGATGTCATTGACCTGTGATGTCATCGGCGTCCCGTCCAGGAGGTCTGCCGAGTCGACCACTACCCACGCCATAAATATGAGACACTGCTGCAGGTATGCTCCTGATTCGGTGTAATGCCGCCACTGTAGTAGAAGTGGGGCTGTGCGGACCAGTGGAGGGATGTTTTCCTTCCACCAGCACTCCCAGCACGGAGCTGTGTGGCGGAAACGGACACCGTCAACCACAGCCTGTCGGACGAGCGTCCTTCCAAGTCGGAGCCGCAGCTGGGACTCCAGCTGGCGCTCTGTGAGTTGCTCTAGCCCGCCCTCCAGCAGCAGATCCACATCCCACCGATACACACAGCTTGCCATCAGAAGGATCGTGACATGATCCCTCATCAGCCGTACTGCGTCAATGATAGCCCGCCGCTCTACGGTGCTGAGTTCAGCTGCCACATCGATGTTATGATCGAAAAAACAGGGCATTTTCCCGGCGTTCAATTTGTTCTCCAGCCAGTCAAGTATTTTGTTGACACCGTCTGTGACGCCTTTCCACATTCCTGCTGGCGTGGTTTGAGCCAGCCACAGCCCGGCCGTTTTTATAAAGTATGACTTCAGCGGTACATCGTCGCTCATGACCTCGTTCTTTTTAAAAGTATTTTTCATGTCTTTTACTGCCACAATAGCCGCTCGTATGACTGGAGCGAGGTAGCGAACCGTGATCACCTCCGCCCGTGAGAAGGAAATCCGAAACTCGATAAACTCGGTGTCACTGCCGTGCCGGCCGGTCGGCACAAGGTGAACTCCGAATCGTCGGATGTCAGCCCTAGCCGCTGCTGGCGGGAAGTCCACCTCCAGGTGGCAGCTGTCGAGCTGTTCCTCTGCCGGCCACCACCCGCGCACAAGAATGCACGGCACAAAGTCCATGCCTCCGTCTGTAACATCATTTGATCTCTTGACGTTGACAGCTGGTCCGGCGGTACTGATTTTGCCGCTCTTCATAATCCGACATAATGCCACCATTAGCTGGCGGATAGAGTCGGCCGGCAAGACCTCCAGGGGCTTATCATGACTGCATTTAGTCGTCTTGACCCAGTGCAGTGTCACAAAGCCAGGGTTTTTGGTCGGTCGAGCCCATATCTGTGGTGCAGACTGTGGAGTAATAACGGCCGGCTCCTCTCTCGTTCCGAGCGCCGCCCATTGGAATGGAGCGTCGAACTCGAACATCAGATCAAAATCTGACGTTCCACCAACGCCCACTATCCCGTCCGTTAGCCCCTCGGCACTGCTGCCTGATGGATTGATGGAGGCAACTCTGAGGGCGTGGTTGGGTTGGCAGTGTCGACAACTGGTGGCGGTGGCGTCACTGATATCCTGTAGGGCTGCCATTAGCGGATAATCTAGCAGCCCGGTGACAGCGTGGCTTACCTCAGCCTCGGTACAGTAGTCCTGCCACCTGGTGGAGTGGTTGTTCCGAATGTCGGCTGCCAATAGCAGAGTGTCGGGGATGAGATGTGCACACGATACATACTTCTGCACCAGATTCCTTACTCTCCAGTCAAAGCACCGTTCCAGCCTCCTCTTCCGCTCCTCCTTCCCCACACCGAACAAGTCAGCTCGTGACATGGCTGCCGGCTGCTCTGACTCTCCCGGACTGACTGAGGCCGGCCGACGTCGCTGTAGATATATCCTGGCATACCTACTGATATACCCGGTACACTTGCCTGATAAAGCCCGGCGGGGGCCGAGATAAGAGGGGACGCTCACCGTCCGTCTCAATGTCCGCCGGCAACGACAGACGCGCCCTGACAATGTAAGTGTCTCCATTCCATCCTCATGTGCATAACTATCAGTGTGATAGACGTCACGGAAAAATTATAGTTAATGAGAGGTAAAGCCAGGGCACATTAGGTTGGGAGCCAGCGCATGCCTGTTTCGTTATACCGAGCGCTGAATTTCCTAAATAACGTAACGTAGAATGAGCAATAACTATTTAACCGTATTAGTGGCAGGCTCCTGGCTATCCCTACTAGTGGCAGGGGGAAGGGGGGGGGGGGGACTGTATACGAACCTCCCTTGATATTCGAGATTTAATCGGCTGATTTTCAAAACTCAAAGTCATTCGATTCCACTCAACGTGATCTACATTTCTAAAAAAGAAAAGTCTTAAAATAATAACTGGGGGGGGGGGGAGCAGCAGGAGGTAAAAACTACAAATTACAGATGCTTATTTGACTGCTTACCACGGCCACCTTTTTTACCAATTTTGACGCAAGTACTGCCGATCGAAACAGGACGAGCCAGTAATTAGCATGTATCTATTATAAAATGAGCATTTCGAAAACTACTTGGGAGGTACACAACACGCAAAATATGTTTTTTTTTACCCGCGCCCTGCTGGGGGGGTGTTTGAACACCCCACCCCCTTTGTGTTTTTTTTTTTGCGAATATCTCCAAAACGGCGGCGTGGAGCGCCGCCGTTTTTGGTACACCTTATCATACATCGATTCTACACTTGTTGTGAAAATTTCAGACCAAGGTCATTCAAGGTCAGGTCAACAGGTCACTTGAAGTGACCTCACCTAATAAAATTTCAATGTCTGTCATAGCTACACCGAGTGACAGATCGCTTTAAAGCTTTCAGCGATTGCTAAGAGCATAGCATGTACAAAATGTACTCATAATTTTGATATCGATGACCTAAGGTCATCAAGTTTGCGACCTCCCCATTATAAGTCAATGGGAGAAAATTGAAATGCGCCTCTTTTGGACGAAAGACATTATAAACACTCCCAAACACTGATTACAAGTGTTTAGACACACTGAACATGAAAATGGTGTCCGTGACCCCTGTTTATAG